ATTCTCCGGCCAAGTGGAACCTTCATTTGCGTTGGGGCTCGACCGCCAATTCAAGGCCCCCCTGTCCGTGGACATGAATCTGGAGCTTCGGAGTTGAAGGTATGTCAATCAGTGGCTGCGTCTCGTGAGGCATCTGTACTACTCATGTTTCTGGGTGATGTTCAGTGCACTCCCAGTGGCGATGCGTCGTCGGCAATGCTGATAAGGGGGCCGTGGACTGGCCCCAGAGGCCACGCGGGAGGTCTCCAGGAGCTTTCTATGCTGGAGGCCTGCGGGGCGCCATTACATAAACGTGGTCAAATTGCGGAAACCTCTGACGCTGCTTGGTTCCATGTGCGCAATGCGACTAAAGTCGCTTTCTTTCAATTGGGCTCGGCGCCTGGCCAGCGGCTCGGGCTCCGTAGCGTAGCTTCTAATTTCTTCGTGAATCTACAATGAAGCTGGCGTTGGACCGTTTGCTCCTTTCGTGCACTGTCTTACGTCTGCGCGCTGACGCTTCTGCTTCTGCGGCCGCGTGCCATTGCATGGGGGGGGGGGGGGGGGGGCATTATTTGATGGCGCGGCGTTCTTAAGCTCGGGTTTGGCCGAGCAGTTGCATACCCATGCCCCGCTCTTGGTGGCGGAGTTTGCCAATGCCTCGCAGCTCGAAAAGTTCTGGCCTAACACCAGGGTCGGAGAGTCATCTGCGCTGTTCCAAGTTGGTGGACCTGGGTCCAGTCAGGTCAGGAAGAAGCTATCATGGGGGTGCCCCGAAGGCGCCTTCACGGTCCAGACCGGTTCGGCTGGGTCCCCAGAGGTCAACGCTGTCCACCAATATGTTCGGCTAGTGCTCCACGGGCCCCGAGTTGGCTCATCGCCCGCAGTCGTGTGCCAGTGCGTGGCTCTGCCTTCGCAGGCGCATCTATCGCCGGCCCTGCATCGGGCCCTTCGTGGCCTCTATCTGGCTGAAACGCTGGAGTGCCCAGGAAAATTGCTTCGGACCAAGACTTGGGGCCACCTTTCAGATTCTCAGTTCAGCAGTCTTGAGGGCGACGCTGTTCGGCCTTATCGTGCCATTACAAAGCAGCCGCGAAAAGATGGCGCGGGCCCGCAACCCCCCGCTGCATTGCATAGCGTCTCCGACTGCATCGGAGGATTCTCGTGGCTGGTCCTCAAGCATTATGGCGCTTGCCGCCCTATGCCGCGCGGAATGTCATCGATCAGGGGGTCACCAACTTGTGCTGGATCTTGAAAGGGTTCGGCCACTCCGCCCCCAGCCCCACCGCGTGCCAGACCCCAGGGCGACCTCGGGACCTTGGAAGCTCAAATTCGGCAGTCAGGCTCAGAATGGAAGCGCGCCATTCGGGACCCCCCGGCCTCTCACTCTTGGCACGTGCAGTTGTACGCTCCTACGGCAGCCGCAGCCCGGGCGACTTTTGATGTTTGGTGAGATGCTGAGGCGCCTTTCGCCACCAACGATCCAGAGCACCCCTTGCGCAAGGAGGAGGATGAGTCTAAGCAGGTTTGGGCCCGCCCATGGTGTCAAGAAAAACTCGATCGTGCTAGCCCCCTTCGCTCGCGCATTGTTCGCCGTCATCGCTCTCGGGTGGCTCTTGCTCTTCGTTTCTCGGGTATTTTCAATGCGTGCTGCTCATGTCTGATGCGTCTCAACAATAGGTCCGTTCTGGTCAGTCACGCTTCCTTCGGCTCCCCGAGGTGCGCCATTCGGCTGTTCTGGTTGGGCCAGCAAGTATCGCAGGATCACACTGATGAGCTAAATGCCCAAGACTCGGAACGTCGTGCTGAGCAGTTGCGGGCGGGACTTTGGTCTCTGGCGCGTTGACGTCCCTGCGCCCAGGATCTTCGAGCAGTGTTACATCAGTTATCCAAGTAGGAACCTCCTGAAGTGTGCTTCTCGAATACGCCATCGGTCCGACCATGGCTTCAGCGTTTCTTACGGATGTTCCAGATGTGCCTCCCGATCGATCTGCCGCCGCTTACGCTGACGATCGCCACAACCGTTACCGGCCTCAGGACTACACTGGCATTGCCTGCGAATCGGCGCCCTTTGGGATTCGTCGTCCTGTCCTTTTCACCCTTCACTCGTTTAGCGGTCAGCGCCGCCAGGGCGACCTACAATGGCAATTCGAGCAGCTAGTCTCGTCGTCCGATGTCGAACTTCTCGTGCTTGGCATCGACGTTGCCATGGATCCCATCCGCGGCGACCTCACGAGGAAGGGTTCGATCCAGGAGCGGGCTGAACACATGCAGGCTCACCGCGTTATCAACACGGGAGAGGGGCCTACCTGCGAGATCTGGTCTGCTTCGCGGTGGCACGAACGATGTCCACCCGCCTCTGGTCCTCCGACTGTATTCGGGGTGTTCCATGGGAGACGGCGCGTCAAAGTGAGCAACTTCGAGTCCAAAATATCCGACGTCTCGACTTTTACGAGACGCGGGCCTCCGACCTCCCGACCACTTCCCCGAGACCGGTTTTCCATCCAGAGTCGTGTTTTGACGGTCCCGAGGCCCAGCGAGGGCCCCGAGAAGCCAAAAACTGAAACAACAAAAAAACTCCGTCTCGATTTTTTCGAGACGCCCGATGTCTGGAATAGGCAGCATGATGCTTCATGCTCTTGCCCGCCTCATCTTGGAGCACCTTCGGGCTGGAACGGGGGGCCTTGTCAGAACACCCTGCGCCCGCGCTCTGGGCCACGCGTGCGCTCTCGACCCTCTTCGGTCCCCCCCCCTCTCGTGGCCTTGGCATCGGCCTCTGTGCGGCAACCACGGCCTTCGACCAGTACGATAACCAGGCACCTGATGTTAATCACGCCTCTGCTGGGAACGACCCCACAAATGTAGAATCCGCCGACCCCTGCCAGGAGAGCCCAGAGAAGCCCAAGAGCAGAGCTGAGCAGCGATCCGCCAACCGCCCCCGACGAAATCCCAAGGAGCTGAAACCCCCCAAGATTCCCCAGAAATCGTTCCGCCAACTCCGTTTTTCACTCTTGCCGTCCCCCAAAGCGTCGGTGGTGCGGCGTCAGCCAATGAATCTCTCTCTCTCTCTCTCTCCCTGTCTCTCTGCATGCCCCAGTCTGCATAATGCTCCTCGTTGCACCCCCAGCGAGAGCAAGTGCCCCAACGGTCCTGGGGCCCGAGTCCCCCTTTCAGGCAAGGGCTGCTCTGGTGCCTTTCGCACCGCGTCGAAGAAGACATACCCGCCTGGTATGCGCGTTGCGTTGGCTAGTCCTCTTCGGCAGTGCATCCAGTCGTTGCGCAATCCCCCCAGAGCCGACAGCGACCTTGAGGTGTCGCCCGACACTGTGCAGATGCGGGCTGAGCTGCTCTGCTGATGGCCCCCGCGAGCCCGCCCCACAGCCCGATGTCGCAGGGGCCGGTCGCTCTCGTGGCCGTCGCAGGGTCGATCCGGGCAAGTCTCAGCTTCAGGGCTATGACGCCGAGGAGTCGGCTGGGCAGGGTCCCTCCCCTGGCACCGTCCACTCGGACGAAGTCGAGGCGGCCGATGAGCGGGCAACTGTGGACCGGCTGGTCGAATCCCAGGACGAGCAAGAGGCTCGATGCTCGCTCGGTTCTTCGCCCCCCTCCCTCTCCCCCTTCCCCTGCACGGTTTCCCCCGGGGTCGTAGGCGACCCGAGGAGGAGGAGGAGGAGGAAGAGGAGGAGGAGGAGGTGGTGGTGGTGGAGGAGGGGGAGGAGGAGGAGGAGGAGGAGGAGGAGGAGGAGGAGGAGGAGAGGAGGAGGAGGAGGAGGAGGGGAGGAGACTGAGGAGGAGGAGAAGGAGGAGGAGGAGGAGGAGGAGGAGGAAGACGGGTCGCCTAAACCCTTTGGAGAAACCCTCCCCCTTCCCACCCACCCCCTGCCTTCCTGCCCCTCGCCGGCTCTCAAAGCGTCCGCACTGCCGCCAACAAGGCGGCCGCTCGCCGCAGCAGGGAGGCGGGCGGCCGCTGTCAGGTGGCGCCGTGGGGCGACGCTCCCCTGTACGGATTCCCCCGGGGCCGTAGGCGACTCGAGGAGGAGGAGGAGGAGGAGGAGGAGGAGAGGGAGAGGGGAGAAGGAGAAGGAGGAGGATGAGGAGGAGGAGGAGGAGGAGGAGGAGGAAGAGGAGGTGGAGGAGGGGGAGGGGGAGGAGGAGTTGGAGGAAGAAGGAGGAGGAGGAGGAGAAGAGGAGGAGGAGGAGGAGAATGAGGAGGAGGAGGAGGAGGAGGAGGAGGAGGAGGAGGAGAGGGAGGAGGAGGAGGAGGAGGAGGAGGAGGAGGAGGAGGAGGAGGAGGAGGAGGACGGGTCGCCTAAGCCCTTCGTAGAAACCCTCCACGCTCCCCCGCGTTCTGTCTCCCAGTTTCGGGAGCCTGCCTTGAGGTCTCCAGAGGCTCAGGATGCTGCAGCGGTCACCGATCTCAGAGATTGGATTGGATAGGGCGGCAGACACCCTGCCTCTTCTGTCCCTTGACTTCTCTACTGTCTGTTAATTGCAGGAATGCGAGATTTGTGGCGTCTACGGAGCAGGGGATCATTTCCCAAGCGTTCTTTCGACGACGACGACGACGACGACGACGACGACGACGACGACGACGACGACGACGACGACGGCGACGACGACGACGGCGACGACGACCCCCCACATCTGGATGTAAGTAGCGACGGCCCCAATCTCTCGACAATGAAAGATGATCACATGCCAGCTTCGGTACCTGTGCTACAGCTTCTTCCCAACGACACGGCTGGAATGTCTCCGGTTGAACGCCGTCTGATGCTTGCGACCCCGTGCAACCCCTAACTCCATCCATGAGTCCGGCAGTCGATGACCTGAAGTCGTAGCTATATCACCGACAGATCAGCGAGATAGGACCCCGACACCGAAACCGCACGCTCCTGGGCGGAAAGGCAGCAATTTGCGATGAATGGGCGATTGGGGGTCGATGCGTCCCCCGCCTTAGCCCCCCCCCCCCAAGTCGCCTCTGACGTCCCTCCTCGTACCCCCACCCCATGGCCATCGGATCGGTCCTGCGTCCCCCGCATCCGCGTCGGCAGCGTCCTCCGAGCGGGTGGGGGAGGGGGAAGGAGAAAGACTGCGACAACGGCCCCCCCATCCTCCTTCTCCCGCTCTCTTCTCCCCATCGCCTTCCTCCTCCCCCCCCTCCTCATCGTCCACCTCCTCCTCCTCCTCCACCTGGCCCGCTCCGAAACTCTGAGTGCCCCACCAAGTGCAAGTCGCTCGGGGGGCCGATTCCCACCTCCCGCCGGCCTCCGCCGGAGTTCCGCCCCCTTCCGCCGGGCGCGGCCGCCCTGGACGCGCGGGGGCCGAGGGGCGTGTTGAAAGAGGGAGGAGGAGGGGGAGGAGGAGGAGGAGGAGGAGGAGGAGGAGGAGGAGGAGGAGGAGGAGGAGGAGGTCGAGAATGATGATGATGAGGAGGAGGAGGTGGAGGAGGAGGAGGAGGAGGAGGAGGGAGGCGTCATGACACCGGCCATGAAGTCCCCCCAAAAGTGTCCGGAGGGCATGGGGCGAGCTGGGTCCAACCAGCGACCGAGGGCCAACGGCGGGACGCGGCCGCGGCGCTCTGCGGCAGAGGCGGGGCAATAGAGGGGACGAGGCAGCGGCCGCGGCACGGCCAGGCATCTCTCAGACCACTCGGGGGCGCGCAACCCAGACCCCCTCGAGTCATAAAAAAATCACGACGCGAGGTTTTTCGCTATTTTGGGCCTCTGGGGACCCTTACCGGCCCTCAGGACCGTCAAAGAACGACTCAGGATGAAAAGCCGGTCCCGGGGGATGGGTCCGGACCTCTGGGGGTCGCGTCATGAAAAAATCATGACGTCGGGGGTCTGGGAAACATGGATTGGCGATCCGTGGACTTGGCGCGCGGCCTCCAGGTCCATGGATCCGGGGAGGTGCCCTCCCCAAAATGCGGCCGGTGCCGCCTCGTCCAGCGGCGGAAATCCGCGATGCCCCCTGGAAGCGGGACCCGTCGCTCATCCACGCCCCTTTGATCCATGTTGGCGATCGCCCGAACCATGCAGACCTTCAAGCGGCGCGGACCCCCAGACCCCCGACGTCAAGCTCTTTTCGTTACGTCGACCCCTGGAGGTCTCGACCCATTCCCCTGGACCGGCTTTTCATTCTGAGTCGTTTGTTGACGGTCTCGATGGCTGATAAGGGCCTCCAGAGGCCGAAAATAGCAGAACATCTCCCGTAATGATTTTTTCATTGCCCGAGGGGGTCTGGGCCTCGCAGTCCTTGAGGTGTAGAGAACAAACAAGACTTGCTACACAGACCAGAATTACACCGTACCCAACCCATCTGTACCAAAGGATGGTATAGGTATACCGGCAATGGTGCGACAGCAAAAACTACAAGAGACGGTGCAAGGCAGTCTCTGATGTCGTGTGAGTGGTGCGTGGCCGACTCGAAAATGGCGACAGCTTCACACCCTGGCCCCCCCAGCAGCCCGTGGCGACGGTTTCACACTTCGCAGACCCTCCTCTCAGGATGGCGAGATCTTGTTAGGGTCCGCGTGGCGCCCCACTGTGGGGGCCCACCCAGCAGCCATCGAAAGTGACGACAGGTTGACACGTCGCAGCCCACCAGGGATGGCGAGGTCCCGTTTTGGGTCTGCGTGGGGCCCCACTCTGTGGGCTCCCCCAGCAGCCCTCCAAAGTGGCGACAGTTTCAAACTTCACAGCCCCCCAGGGATGGCGAGGTCTTTTTTGGGTCTGCGTGGGGCCCCACTGTGCGGACTCCCCAGGGACGCTTCTCCACGGCTCGAGCTCTGAGCCTCACCCCTTCCTCGGTCCGCCCGCCGGTCCTCTCTGCGTGCCATGGGCGCCCGCCCCCGCCCCCCCCCCGCGCCGAACCGGAGGGAGCTCGCCCTCGCGCAGGACCCCCCCCCGCTTCGAGCCGGAGGCGCTGGCGCGCGGAGCGTGCCTGGGAGCGGGCGGGGCGTCCATGGGGGCCCGAGGGCAGGGCAGAATCGGCCAGCATCGGATCGGGGAGCCGGACTGGGCCGGGACAGGCATCTCCTCCTCTTGCTCCACCTCCTCCTCCTCCTCCTCCTCCTCCTCCTCCTCCTCCTCCTCCTCCTCCTCCTCCTCCTCCTCCTCCTCCTCCTCCTCCTCCTCCCTCCTCTCCCTCCCTCCCTCCCTCCCTCCCTCCCTCCCTCCCTCTCCTCCCTCTCCCTCCCCCTCACCTCCCTCCTCTCCTCCCTCTTCACCCCCTCTTCCCCCCCTCCTTCTCCCCCCACCCCGGCGACACTGTGGCCCGCGGGACGTCAGCATCGGACCGGGCCTCATCGGCACAGAACCGACGTCGGGTCGAACAGGCTGCTCCCAGATGCACAGTGTGCCAAGGTCGACGCCAGAGGCGCCGCCACACGAGGTCCAGCGCAGGTCCAGGAAGCCCACACCATCTTCCCAAAAGTTCATGCTTATGCAAATTATGATTAGTACTGTCATTGCAGTAGACACCGTTATCATTATGATTACAGTGTCGGCTCGTCTCCCTCATCTGGAACAGAAAGAGAGAGAGAGAGAGAGAGCGAGAGAGACAGAGAGAGAGAGAGAAAGAGAACAATCATGTAATCAGCCTGACGAAAGACCCGACCATGAGCAGTTGTGGATACCGCGTTCAGGGTCCATCGTTCGACGGGCCTCCCTACGGGGCCACGGTTCGAAACGTGTGAAGGGTGTGCCGACATGGGCGGGGAACCGCATGCGGACCCTGCCACTGGGGCCTTCGGTGGAGCTCCCTAACGGGCCACGAAACGTGTCAAGGGTGTGCCATAATGGGCGGGGAACCGCATGCGGACCCTGCCACTGGGGCCTTCGGGTGAGCTCCCTATGGGGCCACGAAGCGTGCGAGTGGTGTGCCGAATTGGGTGTGCGGGGCGCATGCGGGCGGCGGCACTGGGGCCTTCGGTGGAGCTCCTTATGGGGACACGAAACGTGTTAGAGGTGTGTCGAATTGGGTGTGCGGGACGCATGCGGGCGGCGTTTCCGTTTGCGTTTCCCTCCGCTCCTCCTTATCCCCTCGCCCCCCCCCTCTCTTCTGCTCTTTCTCTCTCTCTCTCTCTCTCTTTCTCTTTTTTTTTCTCTCTCTCTCTCTCTCTCTCTCTCTTTCTACGATTTCTCGGTTTCATGCCTGGGCCACACCTCGGGGCGGCCGGTTCCGCGGCAAGATAAGAATTCAGGAATGACCAACATTCGTGTCCTACGCACCTCCAGGTGTACGATTTCTTGTTTGCTTGCCCCTTGGACGAACTGCACGTCGTGTGGCCGCTGTCGTCCAGTGCCCCCCTCCTCTTCACCCTCCTCCTCGTCTTCCTCCGCGGAAGCGCTTTCGAGCTTGCCGCGGGCGCGGGAGCCGGCAAAGCAAGACCGTCGACGCCACTGGCGATCGCGCCCTCTGTGCCCACGTCGACCTTCCAGGACACCTTGTCCACGTTCGGGCCTAGGCGCTCCACCTTCGCTCGCGCATCCAAGAGGATCTCCGTGTTCGGGTCGTACCCTGGGGGCAACGTGGGCCAGCCGGTCGTGTCCACGAAGAACTCCTTGCATTCCTCCAGGACGTCGTTGACATTCGGCACGCACCACGCGAATTTCTGACGGCTCACGTTCGATTTTACCTTCGACTTCCAGGTCTCGAAATTCTCCGGCGAAAACCTGCACTCCGTGCCGCCCATCGATACGTTCAAAGGTGGATAGGTGCTTCACTGCGAGGACCAACTTTTGGTTTTCTGGTGTCCTTTCCTTGCGCACGGCAGCGAGAGTTCGGTTGGCCGCCTGGCGGCCCTCGGCCGAAACCTCCACCTCCGCCATCGCCCGCTGCAAGTCTTCCGCGGCGATGCTCGCCGAGCCTTTAGCAGGCATCTGGTTCGCCGACCTCGCGCGCTACTCGGTGAGTGCGTAATTACTGGCAGACGCCGGCTTGAGCCACAACACCTCGGAGGAAAAGGAGAGATCTGAGGGGCGCGGAGCAAGAGTGGAGCATCGGCCACGGCAGCGCCAAAAACCCACCCGACTTTGCATTCGAGCCAAAGGGGTGATTCCAGGATTCCCCCCTTCAGCCTGAAACCAATTTTCGGCGCTGCGCCGAAAATTGGTTTCAGGCTGCTCGCTGCCCCGACGCACTGTCGATCTTTAACTTGTGTTGCCTGTTTGCTTTTCGCCAGAGTTCCATTTGAAGCTCTCTCGAGGGGCCTGAGGGGGGCGCCGTGGGAGGCGGGGCCCGAGGCCTCCGGGGGCCACGAGGGGCAAGAGAAGGCCCAGAGGATAAGGTTGAGGGCGGCTCCTTTCTCAAAGCGGTGTTCTCGCTTGAGTTCCCCATGGGGCGCACTGGAGGGACTTGGGGGGGGCGCCGCGACAGGCGGGGCCCGAGGCCTCTTGGGGCTGGGGGGCCAGAGAGGGTGCTGAGGATGAGGTTGAGGGCGGTTCCTTTTCAAAAGCGGGGTTCTCGCTTGAGTTCCCTATGGGGCGCTCTGGAGGGACTTGGGGAAGGCGCCGTGAGAGGCGGGGCCCGAGGCCTCCAGGGGCTGGCGGGAACCAGCGAGGGTACCGAGGATGAGGTTGAGGACGGCTCCTTTTTCAAAACGGGGTTCTCGCTTGAGTTCCCTATGGGGCGCTGTGGGCGAACTTGGGGGAGGCGCCGTGACAGGCGGGGCCCGAGGCCTCCACGGGCTGGGGAAAGCCAGAGAGGGCACAGAGGACGTGTCTGGGAACCTGGACGGCCATAGGGCGCAGAAGCAGCCAGGCGGCAGCCTGAACCAGATTTCCGCTCATTTTTCGGATCGGCCGCCGCCCCTCGATGGCCCTGGATGCCGGCCGCTCTAGCTTTCGCGAGCCGCTGCCGCTTGGCAGCCGGGCCCGCGTCGCTCAGGAGATAGATGCCCCGGTTCTCCCTTATGGCCGCCAACCCCAAGAGCTGCCTGAGGATCTTACGCGTCTCGCAGCAGAGGTCTGCGAATGTCTCCGGGATCGCCACGAAGACTGCCTTCTTGTGCCCGCTCCGGCGACGGCGCACGCAGTATGGCACGGCGTCCGGCTCGAAGATCTGCCCCGCTACCTTTGCGAGCCGAGCCCTCTCCCGGAGCAGCACCTGCTCCAAGTCTGCCACCACCGTGAACCCTTGAGGTGTGATGCCGAGGACATCGCTGCTGAGAAGGCGCAACGCGTAGTCCGATCCATTGCCAAAGGCCGCCGACTCGTGGATATCCGCGACGCCCATACTTGCCAGAGCGGCGGCGCTGCCGCCGGACAGCAAGATCAAGGCATGGCTCACCGTGAACCTGCCCGTGCCAATGATGCGGCACATGTCGTCTGTGACCTCAACCTTGGTGAAGCAAGCCAGCATGATCGGGCCATTGTGCTCGGGAGCTTCGCAAATCCTTTCTGCTACCACGGAAAGAAGTGGAAAGCCACACACACACATATATATATATATATATATCATAAACCGGCCTCTGTGGGCGAGGCTCCTCTCGAAACTCACTGGAAAGGTCCGTTCGGCGCTCATCTGGCCTTGCCGCGCTTGCCCGCGCCCAGAGGTAGTGGTGCAAGGTGTAATACACAGCCCAACTCGCCCGATTTCTGGGGCCCCTGCGAGCGAGTATCTCTTGCCGCTCAGTGAAATTCCCCGGTCTAGCAATCTCCGTCGCAGGCAGGTTCAGTCACATGTGGCTGCGCTCCATGAGTCCGTGAAACGTAAGATCCAAATCAGGAAGATCGACTCCCGCTAGGCCTATGCCTCCCCACGTGATGCGGGTTGTCCCCCACGCCGCCGGCAACGATAGGCTGCAACGGGCGGTTGCGTCGCGCAACATGAATTCCCGAAATTTCGCGCCATCGCAAACGCGGAGGTTGTAGCCTTCCATGAGGGCCCCCCCCGTCTGGCCCGCAAAACTCCTGAACAACTGACGCAAAAAAAGGCTACGGACAATTATCTTCACGCTTTCACCACACTTGGAGCGCAGGCCCTTCTAAAAAACCCGCCTCGAAGCCGTGTCCACAGAAGGAGGCGGAAGAGGAGGAAGAGGAGGAGGAGGAGGAGGAGGAGGAGGAGGAGGAGGAGGGAGGAGGAGGAGAGAGGAGGAGGAGGAGGAGGAGGAGGGGGAGGAGGAGGAGAAGGAGGAGGAAACAGAGGAGGAGGAGGAGGAGGAGGGAGGAGGAGGACGACGACGATGACGGCGACGACGACGAGGAGGAGGAGGAGGAGGAGGAGGACGAGGAGGGAGCAGGAGAGGAGGAGAAGGAGGAAGAGGAGGAGAGGAGGACGAGGGGGAGGAGGAAGAGGAGGAGGAGGAGGAGGGAGGAGGAGGAGGGAGGGAGGAGGAGGGAGGGGGAGGAGGGGAGAGGAGGAGGAGGAGGAGGAGGAGGAGGAGGAGGAGGAGGAGGAGGAGGAGGAGGAGGAGGAGTAGAGGGAGGAGGAGGAGAGGAGGAGGAGGAGGAGGAGGAGGAGGAGGAGGAGGAGGAGGAGGAGGAGGAGGAGGAGGAGGAGGAGGAGGAGAAGGAGGAGGAGGAGGAGGAGGAGGGGGACAAGGAGGAGAAGGAGGAGGAGGAGGACGAGGAGGGGGAGGAGAATGAGGAGGAGGAGGAGGAGGATGAGGAGGAGGTGTGGGAGGAGGAGGAGGAGGAGGAGGAGGAGGGGGAGGAGGAGGAGGACGAGGAGGAGGAGGAGGAGGAGGACGAGGACGGCGGAGACTTCTCCGCCGAGAGCTCCACGGGTCTCCAGACTCCGGAGGTCTCCAGGTGCCGTGAGGCGTCCGATCAGCTCGAGCTTCGATCCTCCAAGCCGTGTCCCCGAAAGCCCCTCGGAACGGATACGGCGACGCCACGAAGGAATCCTACACGACGCGAATACGGCATTATCACAACACGAACACTACACCAACACCACACTAACACTACACTAACACGACACTAACACTACACTAGCACTACACTAGCACTACGCTAACCGACACTAGGGGGGCAGTAACGGACACGAATCACGACTTTCACGCCAATCCCGTTGTTACTGCCAGATTGCGACGGCCACTGTCCGGTTAGTGTCGAGGAGGAGGAGGAGGAGGAGGACGAGGACGGCGGAGACTTCTCCGCCGAGAGCTCCACGGGTCTCCAGACTCCGGAGGTCTCCAGGTGCCGTGAGGCGTCCGATCAGCTCGAGCTTCGATCCTCCAAGCCGTGTCCCCGAAAGCCCCTCGGAACGGATACGGCGACGCCACGAAGGAATCCTACACGACGCGAATACGGCATTATCACAACACGAACACTACACCAACACCACACTAACACTACACTAACACGACACTAACACTACACTAGCACTACACTAGCACTACGCTAACCGACACTAGGGGGGCAGTAACGGACACGAATCACGACTTTCACGCCAATCCCGTTGTTACTGCCAGATTGCGACGGCCACTGTCCGGTTAGTGTCGTGTTAGCGTCCTGTTTAGGTCGCCTCGCCGTCCCCTCGTCATCCTCCTCCTTCTCGTCCTCATCCTCCTTCTCGTCGTTCTCGTCCTCATTCTCCTCGTCCTCGTCAACCTCCTCCTTTTCCTCCTCCTCCTCCTCCTCCTCCTCCTCCTCCTCGTCCCCTCTCCACGACCCGCCGCGAAGCGTCTTCCCTGACGCACAAAGGGACGGAACCCCGACAGCTCTTCCTCTCCCCTCCTCCCCCTCGTCCTCGTCCTCCTCCTCCTCCTCCTCCTCCTCCTCCTCCTCCTCCTGTCCCTCCCTCTCCTTCTCCCACTCGTCCTCATCCTCTTAGGCGTGCTGTGGGGGGTGCCACAAGCGCGTTCAGCGTCGGCCCCCCCTCCGCCTCGTCCTTCTCGTCCTCTCTCTCCTCCTCCTCGTCAGCCTCCTCCTCCTCCTCCTCCTCCTCCTCCTCCTCCTCCTCCTCCTCCTCCTCCTCCTCTCGTCATCCTCCTCCTCCTCCTCCTCCTCGTCCTCCCCCTCGTCCTCTCCACGACCCGCCGCGGGCGGAACCCCGACAGCCCGCGGGGCAGGGGCGCCGGCCACTTTCTCTCCCCTCCCCCCCTCGTCCTCATCCTCCTCCTCCTTTCCCTCCCTCTCCTTCTCCCTCTCGCCCTCATCCTCTTAGGCGTACGAAGCCCCCAGACAGCCGACCAACAGACAAACAGACTTATGCCCTCAGGCTGTTGGGCCAATGTACGCGAGAGGGGGAGGGATCGCAAGGATTGCGAAGGCCTTACGGCCGGCGCCGCCGACCCTGAAGGGTAGAGTCCTCAGGGATGCTTCTTGGGGTCTCTTCGGGGCGCTCTCGGGTGCATCTGGGGGGCAGTTTGGGAGCCTCTTGGGAGCCTCTTGGGGGCCTCTTGGGGGCCTCTTGGGGCTTCCTGGGGGCCTCTTGGATGCCTCTTGGGGCCGAGGGCTCGGAATGTCCGTTCGGGCCCCCCGTCTGGGCATCCTCTTGGGCCGTCTTGGGGGCCTCTTGGACCGTCTTGGATGCGTTTTGGGGTCCTCTTCGGCTGTTTTGGGACCCCTTGGGAGTCTTTTGGGCTGTCTCGGGGCGATCTTGGGAGCCTCGTGGGCCGTCTTGGAGGGCCGGGAAGGGGAAACGGCGAGCAGGGGGGGTGGAGCAGGGGGGGGGGGGCGCAGTTGGAGGAGGAGGAGGAGGGGAGGAGGAGGGGGAGGAGAGGAGGAGGAGGAGGAGGAGGAG